AGTTTCACAGTATGACATGGTTTCAAACTCTTAAAAGTCGTAAATAGAATAAATTGAACTAACTAAGGTCCTGAATATAATTTTATACAGACACTTATTTAGACGTTTATGGCAAACAGATCTCATACAAAAACTGACATCAACTTTCTGTCATAGATGTCAGAAAACAAGCTGGCGTCCTCACATTTATCAGTACGGTGGTGTAACGCATTCATTTTGATTTTTTTCTGGCGCTTATGAAGGAACAGCTGTATCAAAGTTAAAGGTAAAAAAAGGAGAACGGAGTTTATCCAGTTTCTGTGTTTCCATTGTAACCTAATGAAATAATTTCGCTCGGGACGATCAGAAAACAGACTTGAGCTACGTAAACCAGCTTCTTTAAAAGGGGGTTCTCATCGTTACTTAAAAAAAATTAACTTTCTTCCAGCTTCAACAGAATGAGTGGTTGCGAGTGAATGAAAGAGTGAATGTATAATGTTTAAATGAATGGAAGCCGTTTTCAATAATTCAGAACGCAGTCTTTTACTTGAATTCATTAAGTTATCAGAACTAAACAGGAAATGTAAGAAACCTAAGGTAGAAAGTCATTTTGAAAAGAGTCAACATCCCGAAGGTACATACTTAATATGCGGGATCTTACGTTGTTAAACATGATTCGCTAGTTAAGTGAGAAATAATAACGATGGCTAAAGATTGTCAGCCTGGTAAGTGTCAACTTTCTAAGCTGGTGATAAACACTTTCCGTCAGAGCAGAGCTGGACCCCAGGGTAGTACACGGTAAGTTGTTTTAAGTTCACAGAAGACAAATAGAGTGTTAACTACACAAGGAGTGTTTCTAGCACAAATTTACAAACGAAAAACAAAACAAAACAAAAGCACGACAAAATTAATACTATGCTGGTTGTCTGCCCTTGTGCCTTAACGTTACAAGGCTTTGACTTTTATATCAGCACGGTTAAAAAGGTCCCACAGGGGTTAAAACACTTAGATCTTTCACAGAGGTATGATAACATGCGATATGCAAAACAATACAGAACCGAATAAGTAGTAGAAAGGTTTCAAATGTAACGCAATGCTCGGAACAGGCCGTTCGACTGCAACAGTTAAGCGATGATGTAAAATCAGACAAGTCTTGAGAAGTCCGACTAAAATTACACGTTGAAGCAAGTGCACAAAACCAGTTGACTCAAAAGTCTACCAGAGCGTTAAATTAAGTTAGAAATTATATCCACTGTCTTCAAAACTTGGCCAAGTTCTTATGACTGTTTCTGCTCACTCGTAAAAACATTCACTACTGCAGGCTACAACTACAACATCAAGTCGTCCAGTTAGTATAAAAGGCTACTTTATTGGAATTGTTTCCTATGATATTACATTAAGTAAATATGTTCGAACCTATCAGTTTTCAATCAGTGGTAAAAGTTTTAATAACAACGAAATAAAATGTATCACATGTTACCTGCACAAACTAAAGCTAAAGTAGAAATACAAACAACAAAATAAATTCTGAATTCAAATCATCCATAATTCGTGACAACTCGCACCGATTAGTCCTCCTTACCTGAGGTGGCGAGATAAAATCAAACTTTACTAAATCAAAGGAACAACACAGATGTTCCACAATAGTCACTAATGAAACCAAAACTGCACTGTCTTCATTCGCAGAAGAACAACAAAAAT